AGCTCGCATGTACACTTTTGGAAGGCTATCGGGGCCTCCCAGTTTATCATTGATACGATTTCTCCTGGGTATATAATCCCTTTTCTGAAAACACCCCTAGAGCATGCTTTAGTCTGCATTGGAACACAAGTCTGCATTGGAACACAAAGACTTTGTTGACAGTGCAATCACCGATCTATTATCGGCAGGTTCTGTTATAGAATGCCCTTCAGCGCCAACAGTTGTTAATCCCTTGTCTGTGGCTGTTCAGTCAAGTGGTAAAAAGAGGCTTATTTTGGATCTCAGATATCCAAACAGCTTCCTAAAGAAATTCAAGGTTAATTTTGAAGGGACTCAGGAAATGTTGACGATATTAACAGACAGCCAACAGAAATTTCTCTTTTCTTTTGATATTAAGTCAGGTTATCACCACATAGACATCTTTCCGAGTGATCAGCAGTTTTTGGGGTTTTCATGGACATATAAAGGGGCAGTTAAATATTTCATATTTACTGTCTTGCCATTCGGTTTAGCCACGGGGCCGTACATCTTTACTAAGATAATGAGACCCTTAGTCAGCAGTGTGGATTATAACGGTCAGCCATCCGCCATTTGCCGAACAAAAACAACAAATGGCCGATCAACGTTATTCTGGTCGGACATTTTGACCAATCAAATATATACAAAGATTTCATTACTAAGATTTCGTCACTTGATTACCAGTTTAAGAAAACATAAGCCTACAAGAAGGTCGAAGAGATAAATATTTGGAAGAAAAAAATCGTCTTAAGAAAACTGGTAATTTCTATTTCTGTTTTAGTTCTTTTACTGCTCGATCTGCCACAATTCAATAATTTGTTGTTGTAAAGATCGCCATTTTGAATATTTAATTATGGAACCCAGCCTACTTTCAGATCTCGCGCCATCCTTTCGCACGTGTAGAAACACATGCTTAAATCTGAAACACATGCAAATCATGCAAAGTTCAAAGTTTAACTTCAAATATAAAATAAAATATTGCACTTTTGCCAATGTTTATGTACTAGATACTAAATTAGCGCTTTAAAAATATGAAATATTCATATGGCGTCCAAGCGATCAATCAACGTTTCGGCTGGCGGTTCAGGCAATCAGGCTAAGAAACCAAAGAGGAAGGTGTCAGTTGCAACCTTTCAGAAGTGGCAAAAGCAGGAAGAGAGAGAACACAAAACGATTTCTTGGCTTCGCTGAGACAAACAACAAAGTGAGATCACAAGCCTTTGGTGCCAGGAATGCAGAACATTCAAAAACAACATACAGGGGATGAAGAACTTTTCGGCGCATGGATCATCGGAATGGCTAACCAGAAGTTGTGTAATGTAATTGATCATGCGCAAGCTATCAATGTCCTTGCTACGTACCAAACAAGCTAGTCACAAATACTCCAATCACGTCGTACGCTCCGATTGCACGAAACATGTTATCGATAGAAAAACCGCTGCAGGAAAAGGTGTGCAAAAAGTTTGACATTTGCTATGTCCTTGCAAAAGAAAACCTGGCATTCCGCAAGTACCCCGCAATTCACCAACTAGAGAGTCGTCATGGGGTTGATTTAGTGCAGTCATACACCACGAAAGATTCTGCCAAATCATTTTCTCACTACATAGCAGAAAGCCAACGCACTACTTTCATTAACACACTGTCTACCATGCACTTTTACAGCTTTCTAATGGATGACACAACTGATGCTGGTAACGTTGAAGATGAACTCATCGTTATCATGGGCTTTCAAAAAGATGATGCAGTTTGTGAAGTGGGAACTTTCGCCAGGTATTTTAGCCTTGAAGTGCCAGCGAAAGCCGATGCAGACAAGCTGATTGGATGCCTCCAGCAAGCAGTTGGAGCTATTGGTCGATCGGCTCCCGGGGAAAGCAGTGTATTAAGCAAGACCAGCGTGTTGGAGACCAAACCAATCCTGGTCGGTAGTGGCACCGATGGAGCTTCAGTTAACGTCGCGAGTCAAAATGGAATGAGAGGCAAAATGCAGTGAGAAATCCCGTGGCTTTTCTGGAGTTTGTGCTATGTTCATAAATTGGAGCTCACCTGCAAAGATTCTTTAACAAGCAACCTTTTCAAAAGCGTATCAGAAATGCTGCTTCGTTTGTACAGCCTTTACTCCAGGTCGCCCAAAAACTCAAAGAGCTGACTGATCTGTCAGTGACTGAAGGAGGTGTTCGGAGTTCCCGGATAGTGGAAATATGCCGCTTTGTTCCGAAGGTAGCCGCTGGATTTCGCACAAACGAGAAGCACTGCAGAGAATTATTGAACAGTACGGCGCATATATGTCTTACTTAATGACCTTGATAGAACATAAATCAATCAGTAGTGCAGATAGATCTCGATTGAAAGGGTTTCTTTTGAAGTGGCAGGAGGGGAAGATGCTCATAGGGTGCGCTTTGTACGTGGATATTCTAAAGGCGCCATCTATACTCAGCAAAGCACTGCAAGCAAAAAAGTTAGACATTGTGCTCCGAATCCGCTAAAGACGGTTATGTGAAAGACAATTTGCAGTCCTTACTATCTGTTTCCAAAAGCTTGCACGCATAAGTTTATCAGTTTATAATTCATTCTGTTGAGTAGTCTTCATTGTCTCAGTGTTGGAACTGTATTATTCCAAATCAGTATAATAAATTGGCAACAATTTGTGTGTTATTCTCCACTTGTTTTTCTTTATCGGTCGAATTAGACGGGCACAAACAAAGAGATGCCCGCCTCCTATATACTGTTGTTCTGGTGTTGTTGTGTCAGGCAGCTTAGCTATAAAATGCTTTATACTCATTCACAGCATGTTAGAGTATAAATGTATTTTGTAGCGGTACGTAGTGCACAACGATTGCAATGTCAGTAGACAATGTGATAATCCCCATGGGGATTTCACTGTGGAGCATTTAAGGCCTTCTCCAAGTGATCAGAGTCATTCGAAGGCATCAATCTCTAGCTACTTGGCTAAATTTAATTAAATTTTTGTATGCACTGTGTTTCGAACAGCTGAACTTTATTACTTTGTTTACATTTTATATATCGTTTTGTTAACCCGCGCGGGACTAGGCGCGAGATCGCGAAAAGGGGACTAGGACGTTGCCAAGGCAACGAGAACAACGTGGTCGAAAGATCGTATTAATGTCGTCTTAAAGCTATTGTAAGGGCGTTTTATATGTCAAATAAAGGTGTTTATTTAAATCGAAAGTCGCCAGTAGAGTAAAGCCTGCCGTCTCTAACAGCTAGTCCTTCGAAAGCCGGATGAAATTATGCCTGATACGAATGAAATCGAGAAATTTCGATCGAAAAAGAAGGTTGCAAAGTCGAGCATAACTCGAAATATAAACCGAGTTAGGGAGCTCATAAGCAATAAAGACAGCGTCACTAAGGTACGTCAATATGCCAAAAATATTGAGGATGCAAGACAAAAGGCTTGTGACATTATAAGAGAACTGGAACAAATAGATCCTACGTCTATTGAAACTGATGGAGAATGGCTTGTACAGGTTGAGATGGATGTGACCGAAGCCCTAGGTGAGGTTGGAGACTATCTTGTAGAATCTAGTCAAGAAAAGCCTGTGAGTTCTTCTGTAAATAATAATGAACAGTCTGTTGTACAACCTACTGAGCAGTTAAACGAACAGTCGTCTCAGTCAACGGGCGAAGATCCCACAGTTGTGTCTGGAGGAAGTCAACACAGCCGTTCGGGTGGCTTGAAGGGGGTAAAGGTACCAACTTTTGATGGAAGCCCGGACAAATGGCCATATTTTTGGGGTATATTTAGTGCACTTGTGGACAAAAATAACTCTTTGTCTGATGCAGTGAAATTGGCACATCTAAATAACTCTATCAACAGCAAAGTGAGAGAAGTAGTTGCCTGTTTGACGGGGGAGCCAGGGGATTACCAAAAGGCCATTAAGTTACTTAGTGATAGGTATGGGGACCCCCGTGAAGTCGTTGATGCTCATTTGCGCCGCATAACAAATTGGCATTATATTAGAGAAAAAGACCGTGAGGGATTTGAGCGATTTGCCGATGCCTTACAGGCAGCCGTATTTGCCCTAGATAAGCCAGATTATAAGCATGAGCTAAGTAGCATACCCCTCTGCACGCAGTTAGTCCGCAAGCTGCCCCCTAGTGAGAAGGATGAGTGGGTAAGGCAAATTGAGCGCAAGCAGGCAACTGAAACAGTTGAGGGATTAGCAACATGGGCCCAGTCACGAGCTAGATCAATGCGCAAACGTGATCGCTATAATGACCCAACCCGGCAACGGGATGACCCTAAGTTACACCCAAAGTTTCCGCCAAGGAAGTCTTTGCTAGCAAAGAGGGTAGGGAAATGTGCATTGTGTGAGAGTGCTGAGAAACATAAGGAGAGTGAATGCCCAGGGTTTTTAGCTGCTAGCGTGAATCAGCGTTGGGAAATTGTCAAATCAAAAAGGGTATGTTTTGGTTGTTTAGGGCTAGGGCACCAGCGCCGCCAATGCACTGCGCCTAAGTGTGGAGTTGATTCTTGCGAGAAAGGCCACCATAAGCTTCTTCATGTTGCGCCTAATTTACCTGCGCCTATTTTACCCACTGCAGGCCAAACCCTTGAGCCACAAGGGGTTCACTGCGGCAAAGCACAAGCAAAGGTTCCAAGCCAGAGTAAGGTTGCGCTAAAAACCATTGTTGTCCCTTTTGTTAGCGACAGTGGAGAAATAGTGAGGGGGGCTGTACTCTTAGATTCAGGGAGTGAAACAACACTGATTAGGACTGGGTTTGCCAAACAGTTAGGGGTACAAGGTCAAAGGCAAAATCTCACTGTTGATGCTGTGGGCGGAGTGCGTACCACACTTAAGTCGCAACATGTTCGTCTTCCGTTTGCTCCATCCGTGACGAAAGTTGATGTATATGCATGGACTATAAAGAACATATGTGAGCCAGTCCAGGCTATTGACTGGACTGAGATAAAGAAACGATATGAACATTTGCATGATGTCCCTATTGAGTCAGTGGGGGACATGACGGTGGATGTGTTACTTGGTCTTGATGCTGCCTCCTTGATGGCACCATTGGATGTGAGGCGTGGTGAGTTTGGGGAACCATATGCAGAGCTGACATCACTCGGTTGGGTAGTTGCTGGTCCGGTGCCGGTCTCGAACAGTCAAGGAAAGCGTATATTGCGGGTGCAAGTGTCAGAAGAAGAGCAAGATGCCAATTATCAATTGCGAAAGTTTTGGGAGATCGATACTTTCGGAGTTCGTGTAGAAGCCACCACCCAGTTTACGCGAAGCGACCAAATAGTCATGGACATGATGAATGAAACGTGTCGTAAAGTAGAATCAGGTTACGAGATGGGATTGCTTTGGAAAGTTGATAGACCACCATTACCGAACAACTTTGAGACAGCCTTGAGTCGTCTAGAGTCTGTAGAACGACGTCTACAGAAGGATCCCAAACTTGCTGAGGGATATTGCAAAGCCATCAACGCATATGTGGAGAAAGGGTTTGCCCGCAAACTGACGCCTGAAGAGCACATTGTTAATGGAGAACAATGGCTGCTGCCACACCACCCAGTAATCAGTCCACACAAACTATTACCAAGAGTTGTGTTTGACTCTGCAGCAAAACACAAGGGTGTCTGCCTCAACGACTGCCTCGAAGCAGGGCCAAGCCTTCATAATGATCTGCCAGGTATCTTGTTGCGGTTCCGTGAACGACCGATTGCACTCGCAGGTGACGTCTCAGATATGTTCTGCCATGTTCGCTTGAGAGAAGAAGACTGCAAGTATCATCGATACCTGTGGCGTGACATGGACTCAACCAGACCACCAGACGTCTATGAAATTAACTGCCTAGTGTTTGGTGACAAGTCGTCACCATGCGAGGCAAATTTTGCCGTTATCCGAACGACAGAGGATAACAAAAAGCAATGGCCAGAAGCAGCTGCTGCCGTGAGACGTGACATCTTTGTCGACGACTTCTACTCTTCCTGTGTTGGTGTGCCCCAAGCGGTGACTTTACGAACAGACGTCACTGCTCTGATGGCTAATGGAGGTTTTCCTATGCGAAAGTGGCTGTCATCATCGCCAGACGTACTATCAACAATACCCGAGGCCGATCGAGCCATTTCAAATGAAATCCTACAACATGGTGACCTGCCATCTGGGCGAGCATTAGGGATCAGATGGGATGCGCAATCAGATACTCTAGGACTTGCCTATGCTCATCTTGATCGTCCATCTGTGCAATTGACGAAACGGGGTGTTCTTACGAAATTAGCTGGCCTATATGATCCATTGGGATGGTCAAGTCCATTTACGGTTCGTGCGAAGATTATCCTGCAACGAACATGGTCCCGGGGCCTAGATTGGGACATGCCCTTGCCAACTGATATTGCTGCTGAATGGTCAAAGTGGGAGTCCGAGATGCCTGCTCTAAAGTCCTTTGCTGTCCCTCGTTATGTCTACAGTTTGTCAGCAGAAACGTTAACGAGAGAACTTGTGGTTTTCTGTGACGCATCCGAGGATGCCTGCGCTGCTGTCGCCTACGTACGTGCCACTTTGACTGACGGGGAGATTACGTGTCATCTAGTGATGGCGAAGACACGCCTTATGCCACTGAAGACCATATCGATACCTCGCGGAGAGTTGATGGGTTGTCAACTAGCAGTGCGCCTCGCGAAGACTATCTGTGAACAGTTAGATCTGAGCATGTGCCACGTAACGTACTTGACGGACTCGACGACGGCGATCTGGTGGATCCGTGGTGAGCCCCGCAACTTTCGACCCTTTGTTGCAAATCGTGTGGCTGAGGTGATATCTGAAAGCGATCCAGGGCAATGGCATCACGTACGGACGAAGTTGAATGTAGCAGATATCGCAACCAGGGGAGCAGCTGCCGTTGACATTCAAGGAGAGTCATGGTGAATCACAGGACCTGATTTCTTGAGATCTGACAAGTCAGAATGGCCGATTGATGACGTATCGTTCTGTGCTCCGACGAAGGCCGAAGCTGAATTGAAGAAGAAGGTCCTACGAGTACAAGTCCAAGCTACCAAGCTAATCGATCCAGCTGCTTATTCGAGCTGGCTCAAGCTTCTTCGTGTCACAGCTTGGGTTATGCGAGTTTGTCACAACCTACGAAACGAAGATAAATGCAAGAGTGAAGCGCTGGGTGTCCAAGAATTGGAGAAAGCCAAATTGTATTGGATCAAGTGGGCACAACGAGATCGGTTTCCAGCTGAGGTCGAAGCACTGTCGAAAGGTCGCCCGGTTTCTCGAGACAGTCGAATTGCCAGTCTTGACCCGCAGCTAGTTGATGGAATACTACGTGTCGGTGGACGAATTGACAAGGCTGAACTGCCGTGGGATGCAAAACACCCGATTATACTAGACCACGCGCATGACATTACCCGTCTGATCGTTATCGATTATCATCGCAAGTTGATCCATGCTGGAGTTGAACATGTATTCAATCACATCCGAGAAAGGTATTGGATTCTACGCGGTCGTGCGGAAGTCAAGAATTGCACGCTCAAGTGTCCGCTCTGCCACCTGCGTCGCGTCCGTCCGATGACCCAGAAAATGAATGATCTACCTGACATACGTCTTTCTGGTGTTAGTGTTCCATTCCAGCACGTGGGTTTGGATTACGCGGGGCCATTTTCCGTCCGTGTTGGCCGTAATCGAGTCGAGAAGCGGTACATCTGTTTGTTCACCTGTCTTCATATGCGTGCTGTGCATCTTGAAGTAGCCCATAGCCTGGAGGCGGATTCGTTTATCATGGCGCTTCGACGTTTTCAAGCTCGCCGAGGAAATCCAGTGCGTATCCTGAGCGACAACGGGACGAATTTTGTCGGCGCATGGGTAACGTCCTCACGGTTGATGAAGTCTTTCTCACAGTAATCGCTGAAGTAGAGTCTCTCCTGAATTCTCGCCCACTCGTGTATGGTGGGAGTAGCAGTTCACCCACGGATACCAGTGTCCTAACCCCCAATCACTTCCTTCATGGGCGGGCAAGTTCAAATCTTACGCCAGGAGAATTTGTCAAGCAAGATATGTCGTTACGGCGTCGATGGCGTCACAGTCAGTTTTTGGCGAATCAGTTCTGGAAGAGATGGAGGAAAGAGTATGTACCGCATCTGATTGAACGCAGCAAGTGGCGTACGATACAAAGAAATCTTCGTCGAGGGGACCTCGTGCTTATCGTGGAAGACAATGTTCCAAGAGGTCAATGGCGTCTTGGTCGAGTCATGGCACCGATTGCCAGTGCAGACGGACTCGTGAGGTCAGCCGAAGTCGTGACAAAAACTGGGACTTATACCCGTCCGGTGCGCAAGTTGGCGTTGCTAGAAGCGCACCATGAGGAAGAGTGACGTTTCCCGGGGTTCACGCCACGGGCGGGGGTGTTTCGAACAGCTGAACTTTATTACTTTGTTTACATTTTATATATCGTTTTGTTAACCCGCGCGGGACTAGGCGCGAGATCGCGAAAAGGGGACTAGGACGTTGCCAAGGCAACAAGAACAACGTGGTCGAAAGATCGTATTAATGTCGTCTTAAAGCTATTGTAAGGGCGTTTTATATGTCAAATAAAGGTGTTTATTTAAATCGAAAGTCGCCAGTAGAGTAAAGCCTGCCGTCTCTAACACACTGCACGTTCCACACAGGTGTTTAGTTTTTTCTTTTCTAGATACTATAGTCAGGCAAGCGGAATGTTCCTTTTCCAGATGCAAGCATAATTATATAACAACTAGACTTCGAGCTGTCTTGGTGAACACAAGTGAAACAAGTACAAAGCGCTCCGAGATGTGTTTTAACCTTGGTCGATACCTATACTGTCGCAAGGAGAATAGGCCAAGCCCAGTTGAACGTCTCAAAACGAAGAAGTTCCAGTTACTGTTGCAGCTAAAATCGGGTGGTTATAGTCAAGAACAGAATTCAACGCTGCCTATAGTGACGTTAACAGAAACAGTTATCATAGAACTTGTAATGCTATCAAAAACGTTATGATATCGCTAGCATATAATAGTAAGAAAATAACTGTAGCTATTAGAAAATTGTATTTTCCGACGGCACAAACGAAGGGATGCCCTCCTCCTATATACTGTTGTTCTGGTGTTGTTTTGTCAGGCAGTTTAGCTTTAAAATGCTTTATACTCGTTCACAGCGTGTTAGAGTATAAATTTGCTTATAATTGTAAGTTAGCTCATTAGGTAAATAGTAGAAGGTTCCAGGCACAGGCTCTTTAGTAGGAAAAACTTTTTTCATAAAGTTCCCATTAGGTTTGTCTAATCTGAGTCTGTGTCTGTTACGGTGCATTTGGTAATTTTCATTATCACAAAGTTTAAACATATTAATAATATAGTCCGGCGCAACACAACGAATAGCCTTGAGTGTCATTAAAATGTCCCTTTTAAGTAAGATAAATTTAACTGGGATCCATTTCAGTTTTCTAAAGATCGTTTTTGACCTTATTTCATAGTTTGAATTAGTGATAACACGAGCAGCCCTGTTTTGCATTTATAGAATTTTTCAAGATTGTTACAATTACCATCATTCCAGACTGTTGAGCAATATGTAAAGTAAGCGACAACTAGTGTGTTATACAATCGAAGTAGCTCTTTTTGTGGTAAGAACGCCTCCTCAAGAGAGCTATAGCACTTAAAAGTTTTTTGCATTGTGCGCTAATGTGTTTACCAACAATATCGAAGGGTTTTTTGAAGTCTAGAAAAAGGACTCTGTTAATTAGTCCCGTATGTTGAATGTCTGCGACGACTTGTTCCTTTGCAGGAATGTATTCAACTTTCAATTCATATCCTTTCACTTTCAACATAATTGTTTGCAGCCGTCATAGTGCTGACAGTAAAAGTTGAAAAATGGTCTCTAATGGCTTGTGATCAGTTTATTCTACTGTTTTCTTTCTATAGATGTATTCTCTGAAATTTTCCCTGCTGAACACAATCGCCAACATATTTCTTTCTTCAGTTTAGTTTGGATGTTTGAAGCTTTCGGAATGCACAAGCTATGGAGTGTGCTTTCTTATAGAAGGACAGCTCCGACTACATTTTTCCTAGCGTCACACAATGCATCTTGACGTCCTTGACATTAGCGAGCTTAAGATCATGCGATGCGGCGCACAACATGCCGCTTTTGGTGTTTATTGCAATGTTTTATTGTTCTTTTCTGTATAATAGGGACCTTTTGTTATTTCACCACTAAGAATAGGCCGGTTGACAAATATCTATAAAACATGTATTCTCCCCTATTTATTTTCATACTAACTCTCCTGACGCTCGAACAAGCTGAAGCATAATCCACTCCTGGCTTTAAAATTGCTATTGCTCTTTTTTCTAAACGTACGAGGTCATTCTTTAAATATTTCGGAAGGGCGTGATAGAAGGCTGGTACAGCATAATCTATAACTAATCGAACACACAATGTATAAAGCAGTTGATACCTTAGCCCTCTTAAACTAGACCAAAAAGTATAGTCTCTTATTGGCTTTATTGATGACTCCTTCAATAAGGGCACTACGTTTATTACTTAATGTAATGCCAAGTAGTTTGACACTCTCAACAGTTTCGATTTCTTTCCGATTCACATTTAATGGTTCTAGTGGTTTCTGCAAGAAAGTACTTCTAAGTTCTTTACATTTATAGGTCTTTTTCGGTAACTTCTAAAAATTTAGGTGGATCTTCTAATGGAAGGCATTCAAGGGGTGTAGAAGATATGTATTCTTTAATAGCTACTGCTTCCATTATTCGGTACCAAAATAAATATAAAGCTAGTGTAAAAGGCCTACTCTGGGCCATAATTTCGCTCAATATTGCATAATATAGCTTAAAAACGCCAATACGCGATATGCATAAGTACATATTTGCATACATGTATGCACCAACCCCTCGCCATTTCAAACCAAGTACACAATTTCCTGAGCTAACCTGACGTATACGTATATTATGAAATGACACAAAACAAAAATCAGTTGATATTATATTTTACCGATTATATTATAGTTAATGTTTCCATCGTTCTATACAAAAATAGTCATAAAGCTAGTGTAAACATTGCCCGTTTTTTGCATTATATCATGGCGGCAATTAAGTAATGTATTATGAAATGCAAATATATAATGTAATTTAGTATTGCAAAGAAATAGAAGGTCAATATAGATGAGGAAATTACTTGGGGAACATGTCACAAAATGACGTGTAAAGTAAATATTATCATGACCCAGGAATCACAAAATTACTTTTCCTGTCATGGGGTGACAGCCCATGGGATTTCCTCCCAAACAATAGTACTATCATACAAGGTTCAACTGTCAGGATTCAAGAACATAAGTTCTATGCGGATACTAGGCTGTGTCAATCATTTCTTTGTTATATTTTGCTCGGTTAAGCATTTGAAGTATTACGTCACCAAAAGCTTAATTCGATAAAATTATTAGTAAAATAGTTTATAAGTTGAGATACGGTTCGCAAAGTAATAACTTGATAATTGTACTTTAAGTTAATAATAAATATTTTAAGTTGTGGACAAGTTTTAACAGTGATCGATTAAGTTAAAGACCAACTCGACTAGTGCATCACAGCCCTTAAGTAAACAAAGTATGAGAGGCACACAGCAACAGAACCTTCAGTGGACTAGTGGAGTAAAAAGTATATGAAACGTTGGAGAAGCTCAACATACAAAACCAACGTCCAAAGACAGGGACAGCAATGACAAATATTTGAAGATGAGAAGAGAAGAATGGAGAAAGAAGAGAACATTAGTGAACTTTAGTCAAACCTTGTAAAGATCTCCTAACTCGCATTAATAGAAAATAAAGGTCACATAACAAATGGTTTAAAACTGAAGTTTCAAACAATTAAAACAGTACAAAATCTTCAAAGACAAAGAAAAAAACTCAAATGTTATTTTAT